TGTATGGACTTTTTTCTTAATATTTTATAAACCGTACAGTAAAATAATTATTTATGCAGCTTCCTGAGCGGCCAAGGCTTCCAGTCCAAGTCCCCAGCTTCCTGAACTGCCAAACCTTCCAGTGCATTTGCAAATGAAAACTAGTTTCTGATGAACATGCTACAGCCATGTTTACAGCACACAACCATCTGTGCTTTCTGAGAGGTAACAAGAACTGGGTCTCTACAGGAAAAAGATGTCACATTCTAACTGGGCAAAGGAAGGAGCTTGATAAGGGGATTATTATTTATGTAAGTTTAAGTAGGATACAGGAAGAGCAACAAGGGAAGGGAGCTAGTCAAAATGAGGAGCTCCTGGCTGGGAGAACAACAGGAGGAAACTACTTATTAGAACCTGGACAGAACTGCTATTAGGAGATTCCTCTTAGGAATGTGGCCTTCAGTAGAAGGACATAGCCAATAGAATATTCTCTCAGCCTATTACTGCAGGGCACATAGGCAGCTAGAGAGAAGGGAATGGATTTGAAAGGCAGGTAGAAAATAGTAACTACAGCATCTAATGGCCAGACGATAGTTTAAGCAATGAGCCAGCCAACCTTATAGTATAACCATACTACTGATTACTGAGCCTTTCAGAATAAAGATCTGAGAGGAATAGGAGGTGGTGTGATGGCAAAGCATTTGCCTAGCATGTGGGTGGCTCTGGGCTCCATCTCTAACACATTTTCTTTTCCTTAAAAAGAAGCTGGGTACCAATGGCTCATGCCAGTAATCCTAGATACTTAGGAGGCTGAAATCTGAGGATCACATCTGAAGCCAGCCCAGGTAGGAAAGTCTGTGAGATTCCTATATCTCCACTGAAGCACCAAAAAAAAAGAAAACAGTGCCCAGGCCCAGAGTTCAAGCCCCATGACTGATTTAAAACAAAAAAGAAAGAAAGAAACTTTAAATGTGGTCAAGGAAACCTGTCTGGGAAGGGAGAGTGATAGGAGGGGGTCTGAGTCTGATGAAGGAACATTGTATACATATATGGGCGTGTCAAGATGAAATCCCTACACAACTAATTAATGCTAATAAAATGTGGGGAAAATACTTATATAGACAGGAAGTGAGAAAAATCACCTGCATCCTTCTATGAATAAACCATGTTAATATTTGATTTATATCAAAATTTGGGAATATTTGATTTATATCAAAATTTGGGACCTTAGTATATTTATTGATTTGTAATATTCTTACCTAATTACTACACATGGCAGATACCATGACAGAATATATAATCAGAATTCTAATCTTTTTATTTAGTTATTTTTTGGTGCCAGTTCTGGGATTTGAACGCAGGGCCTAGGTGCTGTCCCTGAGCATTTTTGCTCAAGGCTAGTGCTCTACCACTTGAGCCACAGCTCCACTTCCAGTTTTCTGGTAGTTAATTGGAGATAAGAGTCTCACAGACTTTTCTGCCTGGGTTGGCTTTGAACTGTGATCCTCAGATGTCAACCTCTTGAGTAGGTAGGATTACAGATGTGAGCCACCAGCACCTGTCTGGCTTAAAGTTTCTTTTATATGCAGACTGACTCTCAGTTTACCTTCTAGTATGCCCCAAGGGTGAAAACTGGAGCTTGAGTTAGAGGCCTTCTTAGGCTGAGCTCTTTAAAAGGCAAATGTCTTATTACTTCTTTGATACCAAAACTATAAGAAGAATGCTACTACCACTAATGGATACTATTTTTGAGGACTGACACTAACCTGGAAATCCTCCGGTCCAGGGCAGTTCAATAGGGCTGTGTTAAACCAACAATAATAAACATGGTCCATATCTATTAGTCAGGTATGTTTCTCAACTAGAGAACATCAGCCCAACCAACTGATGGGTTGACAATGGGTTACTCTCTAACCTCTCTTAGGAGATGTCTACTGACTTTCCCCGACTGGGGGTCTGTTCTCTCTGGTGTGGGGGCAGGTCTATGCAGGACAAGCATCAGTCAAAGGGCATGAACTCCTCTGCTTCCCAGTCACATGTCACCTCCAAACCCCTGAGGACTACCACCAGGGTACTGCCTTAACTAAAGTCAGAACCCATTCCAGGCCTCTGTTCCAATTCTCCAAACCTCCAGGCAAAACAATAATATTAATATCTGCCAGGGAATCAGAAATTTACGCACGCCAGAAACTGTGTATTTAAACACTCTCTTACTTTATAAAACACTGAAACACAAACCTGACAGCCTGTTTCACACATAACAAAAGTGACCTAGAGGCTTAGTGAGCCCATCCATGTACCAAAGTGGAGTTGATGGTGGTGCCAGCCCATCTAGCCCTATACTACCTTCTAGGAGCACCTGTCAGACTCACCATAGGACTCCATCAGTGCTGGGATCACAGCTGCCTGAGGAGCCTTCCTCTTTCCCAGGTCTCATTAGGGAGCTGGGCTGAGCCCAATCTCCATTAGAATAGTTTTCCCCACTTACAGAGGATCAAGAGTTTGACTAAGAAACATTAGCCTGCACAGGGTAAGTCAAAGCAACCGTCATACACTGGGCAGGGTGGGACATAGACATTAACCAAGGCTTTTCTTTCTTTAAATGAAAGCTTGCCAAAGGCTTGAGTTTAATGCCAGTCATTAAAAGAAACTCCTGAGTTAGACTCCAAGTATACTGAGACTCAAAAACAATACTGAGGGTCTTGAGGTTACCTGGGGGTGAACTTGCCTAGCATGTATGAGGCCCTGTGTTTAATCCCAAGTACTGTCAAAAAAAAAAAAAAAAAAGAAAGAAAGAAAAAAGAAAAGTTACAAGGTTACCCTTAGAGTCCTACTGATGTTAACTAAGCAATTCTCAATCTTCTAAATTCTTTCCAGTAAGACCTCAGTTGCCTTTAATATCTTTGAATTTGCCTCTGAGACCTCAGGTAACCACACAACTGGCCCTCATCACCTAGACCTTCAGGATCCCCTGGCTCCCCACAACCAGGGAACTATAGGAGTAATCTCCACCTGCAAAAGTGGTGTCAACACATGAACTTTTCCATATTAAGGAGCAGAAAGGAAACTACCTATGAGCCCAAATGAATAGCTTCAGCCAGGTTGGGCTCAGTGGTTTTGCTTCTTTTCCAGGAGAAAATGGCAGAACCTATAAAATTCCTGGCAATGCAGCATGCTAACAGGACATGAATAGGCTGCAAAGAATCACCAAGTGCCATGGCCTTTCGAGGAAGAGTGTGCTGTAAGGAAGCAGCAACAGATTCCATTGGCACTTTTGAAGAATCTGGGGATCCTGTCTCCTAGATATCACATCAGCTACTTATCTCTTAGCCTCAAGTTCAACGTTCTTGTGCAGTCTGCTTCATATCTTGCCTCCTATCTTTCCTTCTTATTCTCCCTTATGGACACTCAATACTATAGAAACCAAATGACCTCAACTTTCCCTGATTCATGATGTTGTCTCTACTGGCTATTCTCTCTCCTCATCCTGTTACCTTCAATCTGGTTTGAGGCACAGCAGGAATTAATTCTTTCATTCCATGTCCAATTCCACCTCTCTGTGTTCTTTCTGGAAGCCTCCTTCCACCCTCACACATCTTTCTCTGCAGGTCTCCCACTGCTCTTGACAAGTTCAGAGCATACCTCATAGATCTCCATCCTAATCCTAAATGCTTTGTCCTGTGGTTGACTATAAGTTATCAAAATTCTCTCTCTCTCTCTCTGTCTGTCTGTCTCTCTTTCTCTCTCTCTCTCTCACACACACACGCACACACGCACATGTGCGCGCGCACACACACACACTGTGTGTGTGTGTGTGTGTGTGTGTGTGTGTGTGTGTGTGTGTGCAATCTCCTAGGGGACCCTGGGAGCTACCTCACTCATGGTGATTTTCCATTAGTGGCTGGGCATCTGGTATAGACTCACCAAGTCTTTGTTGATAAGTAATGAAATCTTTTTGTGCCGGGATTCCAGTCTCTTACTAAACAGAGACCTAAGCTGCATCTTATCTGGAGATAACAGTGTTAAGGGAATTGCCCAGTCCCGGTTCCCACCCTGGGAATGGGATTGGCTTTCATTTACATAACTTTGGAGCGTCAACCCAACATAGTTGGGTTGGGCCTTAAATCCACAGAATGTACAAATGGACATGACAACTGTGGTGTGCCCTCCTTGTGGAGAGCTAAATGCATCTCAAGATTACTCCTGGGAGACAGGCTGAGTCCACTTTAAGGGTAGCTCCCTCCCAGCAAGAAGCTTACAAGAGTGGCACTCCAACATTCTCTGGTGTTTACCAATCTCTCACATGCATTCTTCTACCCAGTCACACATGCCACAAGTCACTGAGAAATATCTGGATACATAGTTCCAACTATTCTGTGACAATGGTTATGAAAGGAACCTGGACCTCCCACTGCAATTTTTTTTTTTCCTGGACAATCTTAATTTGAACCACCAAGCCCAGTGTCTCACCAACCCAGGAATGTGGGATGGGCAGGACGCTTTTGCTGGGAGAGACATCTGGTTTTCCAGGGGAACACAGCAAGAATAATCACAGTAGCCCAGAATAGAAAAGTCCCACTCTGACATCCTTTCAGCAGCGTATCCCCACGTCCTCCCTCTCCCTGTGTCCACACCTAGGTTTCTGCTAACCCTGGGTCTTCCCTCTGCTTCTAGAACAACTCATAAGAAGAGTTCAAACCCTTCTGGTACCTTAAGGGTAAGCATGATCTCCCAATAGGGCTTATGGGCTCCAAATGTTTTCAAATAGCATGTCATTTCTAGGAACCGTCCCTCCCTCAGCCCTGCTCTGCTGAGGCCTCCACCCTCAAGTTTAACCATTCATGGACCTGTCCTCTGTGACCCAGGCTCTCTGGGATCTGCCATCCTCATTACTGGCAGAAACACACTAGGCATGGAATAAAGGAACCAAAGCAACCTTGGCCCAGATCCTGGTCCCAAGAGCTGTGGTGGGCTACGTTGGGCCTGACCAGCCCAGTTCTGTGACGTCACGTCGGCCTTACCTCATCCCACTCCGAGGCAAAGGATGGTGACTTCTCCAGCCTCTTCTTCCCAATGCTACAGTTGGACAAAGACTCACTCCGGCTCCCCATTGTAGCGTCCTCGGTAGGTGAGCAGGTCAGGAGATCAGAGTCAGACTTGGACAAACTGCGGCTGAGTTTGAGCTCAGCTTTGGCTTTGCTAGTGGGAGGGGCTCGGCTTCTGGCCCCGCTCCGGTCTCCTTCTTCTTCAGCACCACCAGGGTGCAGAGGTGCTATGAGAGTCAAAGTCTCAGGGTGCGCTCGGCTGTTGGTAGAGGAGGGCAGGCCTGCTGGGTAATCTACTCGGTTGCTCTGGTCCAGGATGCAGGGCTGGGGGTCTCCAGGAGTGTGCAAACTGGTCTCCTCTAGTTGCATGCTGGCCTCGTGGCAGGCGCCCTGCTGGGGGGACTCGTCTGGATAGTTTTGGCCGGTGGCAGAAAGCAGCTGGAAAGGGTCCTGCCCCACCTCACATACTGGGGAGGAGCCGTGGAGGAGACCTGAGAACTGCTCTGGGACCTGCCCGTCCTGCCCCTCTGCAGAGTCCTGGCTCCGGCTACTGCTGCTCCGCCTGTGGTCTTGGAGTGGACGGAGAGAAATAAAAAATTAAACGTGGCAAAAATCAACAAAGTTCCAATGCAGCAAGCATACAGCAGAGCAGAGTAATTCCAAAACAGACAGGAAGAGAGAGAAGCTGGACAGGCTGGGAACAGCCGGGAGAGAAAGGAGAAGGAAGAAAACAGTTTCATATTGTTCTTCATGTTTAATTTGTACCCAAAGTCAGAGCATTTATGAAATTCCAAACACTGGCCTGATTAATACTATCTGGCAGCCGTCCCTGTTGTAAGATCTCCGTTAACATTAACGACCAGACCTTGCTATATAAGGCGAGGAGAAGTGCTAAGTATATCCTACAGAAAGGACACAAGTAAGGACGGAGTAAGTGAACATGGAGAGAGGGAGGGAGAGGAAGAGGAGGGGGGGGGGAAGAGAGGGAAATGGAGGGAGAAAGAGAGGGAGACAGAGAAACAGAAAGAGACACACAGACAGACAGACACACACGCACAGAAAGAGAGAACACAAGCAGCAGACTCACTCCTGGAACATCTGATACATTTCCATAAAGGCCAAAGTGTTATTTAGAGCCACCCACCCTCCTTCCTCTGGCAAGCAGCAACAGAAGGGAAAAAAAAAAAGAGGTCATGATCCACAACCTGCAACTTCTGGAATTCCTTAACTGAAAGTGCAAAATGAAACAGCAGAGAAATAACTGCTTCCTTCCTTGGAGGAGGCCATTCAGTTCCACGCCTCATCCTTCCTTCCTTCCTTCCTTGGGGAACACACACTTTTTCTTTTCTTTCTTTTTTTTTTTTTCTTTGAGAATATGCACATCTCACTCCTGCCAAAGCTGCCCAGCTGCTCATATTTGTTTAAGTTTAACCTTAGTTGATCCAGTGAAAAAACGAAATGGTCTAATTTGTCAATGCCAGGAGACATTTGCAGTCCTCTGGAGACCTCCCCAACATCCTAGAAATCTGACACGGCTGGCTCACAAAGCCAACGACTACTGTACACTCAGAGACTTCTGCCCTGAAGTAGCACTAAATTGACTAAATCTGTGTCTCAGATCAGCACACACTGGGACACCCAGAGGTTCTCCCTGAAAGAACTCAGTCCCATGAAAGACTTGCCTGAATGCTAAGCAAAAGCTATGCCTACTCTAGCACCAGGTCACATTCCAAAGCTTATTTTCTTTCTAAGTAGCACATGTACTGAATAACTACCTAGTTTGTCCACCCAAGAACTGATGAATTCTGAGATCAGAAAACTTTAGAGCTGAAAGTGTCAAGTACTTTCACAGATGAAGAATATGCTGGCAGTGTTGTATCCAAAGTGGTGGGGGCTGGGGAGGAGTTGGAAGTTCTGGCTATGCTCTCGGCTGTGCTGCTCTACAGCTGTGTGGCCTTGGCAGTGGTGACTTTATCCTTTATCTTACTGAGCCCCCACATCTAAAATAATGAGTTGGACTACATGATCAATACAATACAAATCCGTGTACCGCTATGAGAGTGATGACAGCCCTAGTCCCCAGCAGGCCACGGTGACAAACCTCTTCCCCCTTGGGGATGCTACACAGCTCTGCCTGGCACCTATCCTACTGTGTGTACAACAGCACTACTTTCCCTCTGCTCAGAGCCCTGAGACCGTTTCTGGAAGTTCAGTCTTCAAGTGGAAAGCTAGTCAGGGAGGAGGGGTAAAAAATGAGTAGCAGCTTGCAAACATGATGTCCACCATGCAAACGTGACATTGCTGTCCCATAGGGCTGAATCTCAGACAGTCTCCCAACAGCCATCTCTGTCAAGGAGGCTGAATTTCTGCGGTCTGAGCTGCTTCCCCAGACGCGTGGCTCAGTCTCCACAGCTTTTGGCAAAGCTGCAGAGGCAGCAGAGGGACAGCCGGTTCTCACCCCTGATGGCTGGTTAGTAGCCCACAGGAGCCCACAAGTATGAACTTTGCCGCCTCCCTCTTCTGTACTTGACCTCTTTGGAACTTTCATACCCCCAACTCATAAATCCTGCACCACAAAGGTCAGGTCCTGAGCAATGAACAAGCCCTCAATAACTGGAATCAGTTCTCTAGGGAAGGAATGCTGAGAGCTTGGGTTCTATTCAGCTTAACTAGGGGCTCAGGAAGCCAAAACTCCATGGCTTTGAACACCCTTTATCACAACTGTTAGCCAGTATAAAGCTGCCTAGTGATATTGCATGTTGGGACCACAAAGTGAATGATACATGACCATCTAAGAGTGGATCAGGTCAAAAGTACTTGCTCAGAGTCAACCAGGCTGCAAAATTTGCCATCTATGGAACTAGATTGTAATGGTCAGCTGTCTACAGATCCTAGTCCAAGGTGCAAAGTCCCTCTGACAGCATGTGAATGCAAGAGAACCCTGGCACAGGAGCACAGGCTCTTACTTACTACTCCTCTGCTTCAGCTTCTAGCTCTGTATGTGTGTGCGTGTGCACGCGCATTCACATGCATGCACTGATACTGAGACTTGAACTCAGGGCTTGTGTACTGTTCCTTAGCTTTATTTTTTTTTTTTAAACTAAAAGCTAGCGCTGTTCCACTTGAACCACAGCTCTATTTCTGGCTTTTTGGTAGTTAATTGGAGATAAGAGTCTCATGAACGTTCCTGCCCAGGCTAGCTTCAAACCATGATCCTCAGATCTCAGCCTCCTGAGTAGCCAGGATTACTGGCATGAGCTATCAGTGCCCAGCTCAGCTTTTATCTTCTTTTTAACAGTTTGTAGGAGGGGATAACCAGCAGGAAAAGAATATGATAGTCAACAGGCTGCTTGGCTCGCCCTGCTTGGTGGCCCTCAGAACTCAGGCCACATAGAATGTTCTGCCTGCTGCTGTAGGAGCTGACAATGAAAGCCCTGTCAAACAGCAACTCATTCATGCCGACCATCAATGAAGAAAGGGAGGCAGATGCCAAGAACTCAATCCCAGAGAGATGCCAGGAGGGAAGTGGGAAGAAAGAAGGAATAGAAAGTTATGGAGGAAGGAAATATTATAACTCTTAAGAGTTCCATCACAGGAACCAATATATCATGGATTGTAAGACTCATGCAAAGAGAATTATAGTTCACTCAGGCCAATTCCCTAGGATAGATACCTTGTTTTCTGAAAAGATCATCAAGACATAAGAACCCCAAGATCTGTGTGAGGTTTTTTTGTTTCTTTTTTTGAGACCTAGTTTTGCTGTCTAACTCAGGCAAACAATGAACTTGTGATCCTTCTACCTTAGCCTCTCAAGTATTAGGGATTATAGGCGAGAAATCACTGTTTCTCAGTGGCCTCTTTCTTGGGCAATGTCAGGATAACAGCCTCTAAGGAGTAGGCAGTAATAATGTAATATAGGGTTAAGAGAAAAATATATAATCAAGAAGCAAATTATTTGAAAACTTCTGTCCTATTAGTCTCGCCTATAATTTTGGGATCTTAATAATATAGAACTGTTGTGAGAATAAATTGCATATATAAAACATTTAGATCCACACCAAGTTCTCAATAGACATCAATAATCGCCATTACTTCCCATGCAGGATCCATTACAACATACAGTCTTATAGGTGAGTCTGGCTACCTCTCCTCTCCTCACAGGGCTGTCACAGGATCATCGGACACTATATACAAAAGCACTTTGAAGGTGTAAAACGCTTCTGAATAGCCATTACTTTTATCATTTTTACAACTTTCAATAGCAGAGAAAGGGACAGAAGGTGACATGGAGAGAGAAAGCTGAAACAATGAGACCAGGCCCAGAAGTGCTGCTGTAACCACTGATCTTACCAATAAGCATGAACTACGCGTTTCACAGATGACACGAAGATAAAGACACCATGCCTGTCTCAGTGGGCTTACCAGCTGGCCTTGAAGTAGTCAGTGCTTGCCAGGCTTGAAGGGAAGTAGACTATACATTATAAAAGGTAGAATACACCTCATGTCAAGGACTCTGCAGTGGCAGAAGAGAGCCTGAGGCTTGAGTTCTTCCTTCTGAGGACCTACCCTACTTTCCTCAGCCCTTACACTTGTCCCTTCTACGAGAGACACAAGAAACCTCACACAGGGAGGGAGGGCTGTTTCAGATGCTCTACTGAACAGAACACAACAGTAAGCTAATCCCAAACCCCCATTGTGTGTGTGTGTGTGTGTGTGTGTGTGTGTGTGTGCATGCATGTGTGCACTATATCCAGTCCTTTTGGTGTGTGTGTGTGTGTGTGTGTGTGTGTGTGTGTGTGTGTGTGTGTGTGTGTGTGTGTGCATGCATGTGTGCACTATATCCAGTCCTTTTGGTGTCCCTTCTTTTTGAATAGGAATCTTTTTGCCTAGGTGGGCCTGGACCACAATCCTTCTGTTTATTTATACTTCCCCTGTAGCCTTTGTAGTTTGGGTGACAGTTATATACCACCATATCTGGCTTTTTTTTTGCCAGACCTGGGTCTTAAACTCAGGACCTGGGCACCGTTGCTCAGCTTTTTTGCTCAAGGTTGGTGTTCTGCCACTTGAGCCACACCTCTACTTCCAGCTTTTTGCTGGTTAACTGAAGATAAGAGTCATGGACCTTCCTGCCCTGGCTGGCTTCAAACTGAATCGTCAGATCTTAGTCTCCTGAACAGCTACAAACTATAGATGTGAGCTACTGGCACCCAGCCACATCCAGCTTCTTAAATGAAGTCTTGTGAATTTTTTGGGGGGAGGGAGGAGGGAGAGGAAGAGGAGTCCAAGAGGCCTCTAACCAGGATCCTCTAGATCTCTCCCTACAATCCCAGCTACTCAAGAGGACTGCAGATCTAAACCACTGTGCCCACCATTAACTTCTGATATTTATTTATTCTGGGTGTTTATGTTCATTTTACCCTGTGAGCTGAATAAACAAGTTGTCTGTGTAGCGTTTTAATTATTGTGATGATCCATAGGAATCTGGGTGGCTTGTGAATAATAACACTTTAACTTTTGCACATTTTCAGTTACCTATATCCATTTAAATGAGGGCTGGAAATTAGCACTG